TAAATGTTTATCGTACAACAGTAACAACACGGTCATGCCTCTTCAGAAAACTTGGATGAAACTTAAATTTACTTTTTGAATCGTCAAAGTTTCGGATGAATGCACTTTTTGTGGAGGGACAGAAATCTTTCAGGTTTCATTAAAAAATATCTTCATTTGTATTTTGAAGATGAGTGAAAGTCTTATCAGTTTGGATTTTTGGAACGACATAAGGGTGAGTAAATGACAGAATGTTCATTTTTGGGTAAACTAACTATTTCGTGATTCTTTCTCGAGAGAATGTAATGATACATGAGGTGCTTTTTGAACCCATGCCATGAATATAATGATATTAGCGAGCAACACAGCAGAATATGTTTGTTGCATTAGCTTTGTGCCTAGTAATAAAATGCAGTTTCTTATCTCAACAGGTTCCTTATGAAACCTTGAACAAGCGCTTCCGAGCAGCTCAAAAGAATATAGACCGGGAGACCAGTCACGTGACGATGGTGGTGGCGGAGCTGGAGAAAACGCTCGGTAGCTTTCCAGTGGTGGATACCGTAGTCTCTCTCCTGGATGGGGTGGTTGAGAAGCTCAGCGCCCTCAAGAGAAAGGTATGCTGAGGCATCATGTTGAATAGATTCAGTTTTACTACATTTGTACCATTTGCACTAAAGACTGAAATGGTTTCGTGTCTGATAGGCAGCTGAGTCTATCCAAGCAGAAGATGAGAGCGCCAAGTTATGTAAGCGGCGCATAGAGCACCTGAAGGAACATAGCAGTGATCAGCCAGCCAGTGTCAACGTTTGGAAGAAGAAGCGCATGGATCGTATGATGGTGGAGCACTTACTACGCTGTGGCTATTACAACACCGCAGTCAAGCTAGCCAGACAAAGCGGGATTGAGGTGTGTCTCCACTTTTCCTGTGCAACGGGTACGATGCTTGCGCTGTTTCCCATATAATGTTTTGTCTTTGTAGGATTTGGTCAACATTGAAATGTTCCTTACTGCAAAAGAAGTTGAAGAATCTCTCGAACGCCAGGAAACGGCTACCTGTCTGGCTTGGTGCCATGACAACAAGTCTCGCTTACGGAAAATGAAAGTAAGGTGCTGGGTTCAACTGGGTTTGATTTTTCTCAATTGCTGTATTCAAATATGCACTTGTGTTTTAACCATAGACTGTATAAAAACATGGACGTGGTGTCCGTGACGTCACCCGTAGGTTTCCGAAGAGTGTTTTTGAAGCCTAAAGTAGGCAGAGCCAGCCGTCGCCATCTTGGCAGCACGTCACCGCGCGTCACTCCCGGATAATCGAAAATGGGCAAAGAGGCGGGAGCTGGTTGCTGAAACCACGCCCACCTAGCTCGATGGTGGTGACAGCAGCGGCAAGCCACCTGTCACTCAAGTGGCCACGCCCTTAATTATGCAGACCTTTAAATTCTGCATAATTAACTATATAGACCAAAATCACTTTTTGTACCAGGCTGTAAACATCTTTTTTTTTTCTGCTGGAAAGTTGGGCATTTTAATATGGGGAGTCTATGGGACTGACTCACTTTTGGAGCCAGCCTCTAGCGGCCAGTCGATGAATTGCAGTTTTAGTCACTTCCGTGTTGGTTTCACGAGAGAGACCGGAAGGTTGCCGCTTGGTCATTATGGAGCCACAATAAGTTTGTGGTTCTATTCCTTGTAGTCTGTGCTTTCATTGGCTTACATTTCATTTTGTCATGTTGCCTGAAAACGATGCAGTTTGAAAGGTAAAGTTTATTCAGTTTTGTTGAAATATGCCCCTGTTTCCAGAGCTGTTTGGAGTTCAGTTTAAGGATCCAGGAATTTATTGAACTCATTCGACAAAATAAACGGATGGACGCAGTAAGGTATGAGATGATTTTTTCTTTTTTTTTCTTTTATAATACTAGGTCTTCATGGCTGGACATGACATGACTGCCAAGTTTCTCGGAATAACTTGAATTTATTGTTAAACAAATCATAGTTGGTGTTATTAAATCAAAATGAATGTCTTGTAGACATGCACGCAAACACTTCAGCCAAGCAGAAGGAGGGCAGTTGGACGAGGTACGGCAAGTGATGGGCATGCTGGCATTTCCCTCAGATACGCACATTTCACCGTATAAGGTAAATTACATTTCTGTTTCGATATTATCTGAAATGTATCTGCCACTCCAGGGAATTGTTTTGATATTGATCATTAATTGTTTCTGAATATGCTGTCATAGCAGGTACAAGTTTAGTTGTCCGTAACATTTCTTATCTTTCCTCCCAGGATCTTTTGGATCCAGCTCGCTGGAAAATGCTGATCCAGCAGTTCAGATATGACAACTACAGATTACACCAGCTGGGGAACAACTCTGTGTTTACCATTACCCTGCAGGCAGGGCTGTCTGCCATCAAAACCCCGTATCCTCTCTGCAGAAAAACATTCACCATCCTAAGGCTTTTCAGTTTGCACGTCCAGCAGATCATTCATTAATCAGGATTTTGAGTTGGGCGATTTCAACATACAGTGCTTTGACAATAGAAATAGGGGTCATTATCTTAATTGACTGTAAATGGTTCTTAAATCAAGTTGTTGAATTGTTGTTGACCTTAATTCCAAGTTTACAGGCAGTGTTATAAAGAGGATGGCACTTCCAAAAACCCAGACTGTCCTGTCTGCAGTAAGTCACTGAACAAATTGGCTCAACATCTTCCCATGGCTCACTGTGCAAACTCAAGGCTGGTGTGCAAAATCTCTGGCGAGGTCATGAATGAGAACAACCCACCCATGATGCTGCCTAATGGCTATGTTTATGGATACAATGTGAGTTTTGAAGCTAGTTTTGTTTTTCTGCTCTTGTGTATATATACTACCAGAGTATGCCATTTGGAATTTAAGGGGGTCTGAATACTTTCCGTACCCACTGTATTTCTGTGTAAATATAGTGATTAACGTTCCCTTGCCTCTGCTTTTCAGTCTCTCTTGTCCATTCGTCAAGATGACAAGGTGGTATGCCCCAGGACCAAAGAGGTTTTCAACTTTTCCCAGGCTGAGAAGGTTTACATAATGTGATGGGAGCTCCACATAAGTTTTGGGACGTTAAGTTGTGGTGCCATTGTAGGCTGGGCGAATCTCACATTGACACCATTTGTCAAAGGGCATTTTGCCCTTGTTCCATGCAAGTGAATCTCATTGACAATATGTCCTCGCCCTGCAAGACCAGCAGGCCTGCAAGACCTTCACTGAACTGATGGTTCAAAATAACAATGGAGTCATCCTGCACTAAACGGACTGTAGTGACGAGGGATTTTTTTGGTTGGTGTTTTTAAAAGGGTTGATTGTTTGGCATTTACTTAACTGGTTTCTTTTCAGTAGTGTAAAACAAACCAACACGACTCCATATCAATCTCAAAGGAGCTTCTGCCTTGTAGTGTGTTAACAAAATGAATTATTCATTGTTGTTTTTTTTTTAACAAGGGCACCCAATTAGGTCATTATTTTTAGATGGGTTGTGAGTAGGTAGGTAGTTGTAGAGAACACACTCTGATGCCTTGCTTTTGCACCTGTGAAAACTGCGACAACTTGCTTTTATGTTAATGTGATCTTTTTTTGACTTGACATCCTCAGTTTGAGGCAACATGTTAAAAAAAAGTTGTAGCATTTATAGCAATACTGCTCTTTATCCCATTTCTGTGGAAGTACATATTTAGAAAGACTTGGTGGTGTTCTTTGGTGTCAGGCTGGTGTTTAAAAAAAAATCACATTAGTTTACACTTCAACAGTAAATACTATACTGACTTATGGACTTTTATATCATCATCATTCATCGAATAAAACATCCTGTGTATGACCAAAGTCCTTGTAGGACAAGTATGCAAGATTGATTTTTGATGGATATGCCGAAATTTGGAGAAATCTTTTTTTTATTATTTTTTTTTTACTAATGGTATGTTGTGTTATATAAAACAATATCATATGTTGTAATTAATAACTTCATGCTGCATTTAGTGCTGTTTTGAGACTAAAGGTTGCAATAGCAAACCTAAAGTTTTTGTGGTTTTGGATCTCAGGGTAGATTCAAATCTCTCACGGTTTTATTACATGGACTGGAGTTTTGTTTTTTGTCTCCAATGTTAGAATTTGTTATTATCCAGCCTTCGTACCCTCATTTTGTGATGTAAATGTCTTGTGCGAGTTCTCTTCTGCTGCAAAATGGATTCATATGGATCTTTTCATAAATATAGGCTAGTTTTACATAAGTCTTACATTATTAGAATTTGCAAATTCATTGTAAGTAATGTGCATAGAGTCGTTTTGAGCACAATTTTCAAAGCAGCGTACATTTTGATAATGTTCACCCTTGCACACATCCCTTGAAAGTCTCAGGTTTCACAGGATCAACAGAAGGTAACCAACGAGTGGGATCTTTGAAAGGCCCTCTGGTCTTTAAGTTTGACTTTAAAGTACACCAACATCCGTTCCTGTTGGAAATGATTCTCCAAGTATGTGTTTAACTGTAATTGTGGAAAGACTTGCTTAGAAACTGCGCATGCATGTGTATTTTGGTAGGATAGATGGGTTGTTCATGTCCAATTGCCAATAAAGATTGATTTGATTATGTATTGTCATTGCCTTAAAAACACAGTTAAACTCCCAATGGAGAAAAACGAATATTTCTTACAAATTTACATTTAGGTGAAAGTGAAGCACTTCTGTAATTATGTTTGAGAAGCAGGAGTGTAGCAGTAGTAGGCCTGTGTAAAGTTTGTTGTTTATATCCTAAATTAGGAGCTTTGTGGTTTTGCAGGTATAACTAGTCCGACCATTTAGCTGATGTATAAGAATAATAGAGATGATATGCAACATTAGGAAGTCGGACTGACCAGCTGATATCAGACATAATAGCATATTACTTTCAAGTTATTATACCTTGACAAGTTAATTCTTAGTAAAGAGAAGCACTACAAAATGGTTGACAAAACTCAACCCCTAACGTTTACACAAGGAATTAACTCAAAAAAAGTGCATTTTATCATTTATTTCAAAATGAAAAGCATTCGGTGAATTCAAATGCATGAAAACTGAAAAGAATTTCGATGAATGGAGTCTAGTTGAGTAATTTTTGTAAGAACTGCATGAACATATTTAAACATTTGTAATTTGTTGTCATGTCATCTTGAATATCCTTTGCATGTACATTTTGTACGGTCCAGCACAAGTTGCTGTCGTTTGTTGTTGATCTTAGTAGACATAGCTGGCAGTAAAAAGGGACTGTGTAGATGCTTGGTCAGCCTGACCTGAGGGTTTGTATTCACCTTTTGATGCAAGACTATTGGTCTGAAGAGGAAAAAACAAAAATCATCAATATATGCAGCTTCGATCAATATGGTAGGCCTATAAACTGACAGTATAAAGCAGCACAATATCATTTAGAAGTTTTGAAAAGTTGCACTATAGTTGTGACTTGACTGCCCACATGCAGTATTTTTAAGTTTGAATCATATTGTCATTGATTACCTTGGCACGTGTGACAAAGGCATCCTGTGTAGCCTTCTTGTTTGCTGCTTGTCCCTTCCATGCAGCAAGAGCCGAGGCCTGGAGAGCACGGCCATAAGAGAAGCTCAGCTTCCAGGGTCTGTGCAGAGGAAGCTGGTTCATGGCGTTCAGATTCAGAGAGGCCTCCTCCTCACTTTGACCACCAGAGAGGAAGCAGATGCCTGAGAATCAGAATAGAGATGTTGATCGTTTGAAGAGCACTCAAATAGAGACCATCCTCTGAGGACCAGTGGAGGACTGTCTTACCCGGTACAGCAGCTGGCACTGTGCGTCTGAGCGCAGTAACTGTTGCCATGGCAACCTCCTGAGGGGTGTACTTCTTGGTACAGGAGTGTCCAGCGGTGACCATGTTTGGTTTGAGCAGAGTTCCCTCCAGATACACATGGTGGTCAGAGAGAGCCTTGTACACAGCCGCCAGGACCTTTGGATGCAATTGGTTGGGAATTATTTTTGACTGATAATTTGGCTTTGCTCGGCTTGTTATTCTGGGAGGACGTTTACCTTCTCGGTGGCATACTGGCAGCGTTGCAGATCATGATCTCCATCTGGGAGGATCTCAGGCTCTACAATAGGCACTAGGCCATTCTACAGGAACGAGGAAGAGTTAATGAGAAAAAAGGATCTTATAGACGGTTTGTAAAGAATCTTAAACAAATTACTGACATGCTATCAATTGTTTAGAGTCGTGTGAATGGCCGTTTATGCACAAATAATAGGATTCCATGAACCAAGCACATTCTGTTAGACATACCTGTTGGCAAATGCTGGCATATCTGGCAAGAACATTGGCATTTTCAGCAATTGAGAGAGCAGAGGGGCAGCTGTCAGAGATCTTGAGCACACAACGCCACTTGGCAAAGTCACAACCATCCTTCTTATACTGGGCACAGCGTTCAGACAGACCGTCCAATCCTGAGTGAAACAGATCAAGCAAAAATAGCTTCCTTTAAAATGGATACAAGTCAGGAGAGATTACGGTCATGTTAATATGCATTTAAGTAAAAATGTACCCTGTGTGGTTGTCTCTCCATCGGTACCAGCCAGTCCTGCTGTGCCTTTGTCCACCTTTAGGCATAAAAGCACAATTAATACTTTTATTTATAACATTACATTCCAAAACTAATGAGATAACCTTGTATGTACACAGAAAAAGAGAGAGAAGGCTTCTACCAGTCCTTTGGTCTTCTATAGGGCTATAACAGGGGTGGCGAACTCCAGTCCTGGAGAGCCGCAGCCCTGCAGAATTCAGCTCCAACCCCAATTAAAACTCACCTGCCTGTAGCTTTCTAGTAACCTTTCAGACCTTGATTAGCTTGCTCAGGTGTATTTGATTAGGGTTGAAGCAAAACTCTGCACGGCTGCGGCTCTCCAGGACCGACGTTCGCCACCCTTGTGCTTTAGCAAGCATAGAAATGCATAAACGCGTTCACACTATGTTAGAGAAAACATTTTTAAAAGTGCACCGAAATCTCACCTTGATACCAACTACGATGCCCTTGTCCTTGATGACTTTTGGAAACAGAACTCCCTGGTGTGATTTCTGGTACAGTGTTTCATGGAAAAAGATGACACCACCAATATATTCAGAGACTGAATTGTCTACAGAGAAGAGGATGTCACGAAAGCTGCGGCGGTTCTCTTCAGTGTTCTCCACTTTTATCTTCTGAAAACGCTTTGCCATGGTGCCTAGAATATGAAACACACATCTAAGAACATCTGCTGGAATGCAAGCTTACCACGACATATTCAAAAATACAATTCATTATAAGTACAGCCATAAAGCTGGAAAAATGCAGTAAGACAACACTGTTAAAAAACAATTATTCAGCAACATCTGAAGTATTTTCATTGCTTATTGTTGGTCATTTAATATATATTGCATAGAGTTGGTACTCTATCCCATGCAATACACCACACGTTCTTACCTGCGGACTCATCTGCAGCCAAAATGCCTTTTCCAGTAGCCACAATGCGCTGGGCAATTGTGGAAAGCTCCTTCTTCTGCTCCGTAGAGAGAGCTGGAAACTGATGTGTCATGCTGGGAAAAGAGCAAAAGTAAATTTATTTGCAAAAAATACCAAATTTACAGAACTTCTATTATTCAGATCACTGGGTTATTCACTGCTATCTGTAAATATTTGGCCTGACTGTTGAACTTCAGTCCAGGCTGAGAAACACACCGGCTCCTCCCACTGAACAAACAAGTCCAGGGTTCAGTCATCTGATATAGACCAGAGCATTTTGCAGTTTTCCTTGCTATTATGTGCAAAGAAAAAGTGCAAAACGTTTCACACATTAGTGCAATATCGTTAAGAACTCTACAAAAGTGTCTTTCATACACTGTGTAGTTATGAAAGAAGATTTACCTCCTTTTTCGCAGTAAACGAACATGCCATTTGCCTACGTATATAAAAACTAAAATGCAGCGCCTGCATTCATCCCGTAGATAATTTGCAAACTGCACAATCTAACCAACATGCAGCCAATACAGTTCTGAAATTTCAAAGATATATCTGAAATATTCTTACAGTGATTTATGACTTGCATTAAAGAGCAGAACCTGAATATTTAGCGATATCATTGCACTGACACATCTGCAGTTTGTGAGTTCGATTCAGCGTGTTTATGTATTGCTCTACCCTTCCAAAATACTACATTGACTTACAAAATAAATATTAATACTAACTTGGTAAATGCGATGATAAAAAGAGAATTAAAAACTTCCATGCTTACTTGATTGGTCTGAAGTCGAGCAGCGCTATGTATAAACTTCAGATGGAGTGGCCTCTCCTCGATGGGTTTTAGGGAATCGGGACAGAGCTATTCGAACAAGTCGCTATTTATTCGAGAGCAGAGGCAGGACAAAAGTGATGCGAACGGGCGTGCTCAACCTCCAAGAATGCCATTGGTTGGGATATTGGACGGGTGTGTGAGAATATCTGCGTATGTGGACTTTGGAAGAAGAGTTTTAACTCAGCCATCCCTGACCTTAGTGTTACACATATTTAAAATGACTTTACAGAATCTTTATAAAACCATGAATCAAGTGCGGAGCACAGGGCTGGAAACGTGAGATCTGAGATAACAGAGTTGATTTTCAGGTTTCTTCAGTTCTTGCATTATCATACACAAGTATGTACTCTGCAACCTTTCTGTGGAAGCCACATTCTGACTGGCACAAAAGGTGTAATGTCCCACTGCAATATGATAATGCATGCAATACATAGACTAGTGAATGTGAAAGAAAACACAGTGACTATCATTCTCCTTATGAAAAAAATAAAAACTATGCTATTATAGATCCTGACAACAGAGATATGACATCACACAAGGCCAGCAGATGGGTGAGGTTTACACAGGGTGTTCTATTAACTGTGTTTAGAGGTGCCTGCAGTGGGGAATCCAGGTGAATTTGATGCTTTTAAACTATAAAATGCATGCCTTTTTAAATTTCACAGTTCAGTTGAACTTCACAAACATTGTCATTCATAAGAAAACATCCTCAGTTGTGGCACGTATGCACTAAAAGTAAAACAGCATGTCCAAATGTGTGTGTGTGTGTGTGTGTGTACTGGTTTATATATCCTGGTGGGGACTTAAACCTGAATACACACAGACTCATGGGGACTCGTGTCACGGTGGGGACCTAAATTGTGGTCCCCACGGGTACAAAAGCTTATAAATCATGCAGAATAAAGTTTTTTGAAAATCTAAAAATGCAGAAAGTTTCCTGTAAGGGGTAGGTTTAGGTGTAGGGTTGGTGTAGGGCAATAGAATATACGGTCTGTACAGTAGAAAAACCATTACGCCTATGGAGAGTCCCCACAAGGATAGCTGACCAGATGTGTGTGTGTGTGTGTGTGTGTTGGATGAGTGTGGTTAACAAATCTGTCTGATTGCCATTGACATCAGTCACAAACACATTAAGGGAATGCTTGTGGGAGAGAATTACATCAACAGCAGTTGATGAAATAATTTTGGCAGACAGACAAGACGTGGTCTGATGAAAGGGTTTGAGCAGTCAGGCCATTGATAAACTTGCTGCATGATGAAGACAAAGACATGCACGCACTGATGCATAGACACTTTGAACTAAGAGAATAAAAGTCAAGGGATTTCACAACATGAACTCTGTATTCAAAGGCAAGAGTATCAAATGCACGCTCAAGGACAGAGTCCAAATATTAGTTCGTGCACAGAGCGTGACACTTAATTGCAATGAAGTAAGTCTTTGAGTCAAAATACACACACGCACACACACACACAAATGATGGTACCCCCACATTACCAGGAGTTTCAACTGACTTTATGGTTTTATATTGAGCTAATGATATTGTCTGTCCCCCAGTCCTCACAGAAACCTTTCAGATTTTTTTACATTTTCAGTAAATGTTTCATTAATTTAGCCGTTTGAATTACAGGGGCAGTCGCATTGTGGGTAAAGTCAGGTTTGCTTACATTATGAATCCATTTTTGGTTCTATGGTGTAGGTCAAACCAGCACACACACAAGCAAACATAAGGAAAAGGCTGCTATAGTAAATGCAAAACAATACAGTGTACAAACAATACATCTTATTTGCCCATGTGAAGTTATTAAACTCATACATATCCAACAACACAGTTGATCTGGAAACAGCATACTTCTTTAATTTATTTACAAGAATAAATAATTATGTCTAACTTTTAAAAATTATATACTGTACTTTAACTAGTATTACATTTTAAACTTACATTTAAAGGAGTCATATGATGTTGCTAAAAAGAACATTATTTTGTGTATTTGGTGTAATGAAATGTGTTGGGGACATAATTACTGATTATAATGACTTATACTGTCTTTTTTTGCATTGCATCACGCCGCGTAAACATAAAAACCATGTCTGCATTTGTGATCGCAGAAATTACAAACTACAAACACTACTCTACACTGCTCAAAACTCGCATTTGAATCGTCAGTGGCAAATCCTTTAAATATGAAAACGTACTTACAGTCTGTGAGTCAGAACAGCCGGCATTGTAGTCTACTCTACCAGGATCAGGAAACAGTCCTCCATAAAATGCGTTGCACACATCTGAATATTTGGGTTGAACTGTTCTGGAACAGTGTTGTAAATACAACTTAACCACTGATTTCTAGTTGTGTCCTCTTTTGGAAGACCAAACAAAGTAGTTTCGCTTTCACAAAGAAACACACAGCGGGCTAGAGTGAGCGGCGGCGGGCTAGAGTGAGGAATGGCCGGCAGGCTTGAGAACAGCGCGGCGGGCGGATTCGACGAAGGAGCGTCCAGCGGGCTTGCGGCAACCACATGTGACGACCCCGGGCTGGACTCCGCTTCGTCTACGGTGAAAGCCGATCCAGCGATCCACAGCGCAAAGTTGATGTATTTCCTCAGCGACCAGCACGGATCAGCTCCAGGCATGACGAAGCAGATATCGTCCTCTTTTGGAATACCAAACAAAGTAGTACAGCGAGAATCAAAGTTACGCCTTCTTTCTTTGCGTGAACATTTGGGCGGCGTTATGCAAATCTTCCCACATAGTGACGTAGGTATGTGGGGGCGTGTTTAAACGAGGCGTTTTAGGTAGGCGTGGTTAACTCTTAACTTTTATAAAGAATATCTCTTTGGATTTGAGACTTTAGTCTTTGCAACTTTAAAGATCTTCTTTATGCACCAAGAGCTTGTAACACTCCAAAGAGAAAGGAAAAATTTAAATTGCATCATATGACCCCTTTAATTGTGTACTGTTCTCTCTCTCTCTCTCTCTCTCTCTCTCTCTCACTCTCTTTCTCACTACACACACACACACACATAGAGGTTGGACAAAATAATGTAAACACACAGTAAATAGCTTTTAAATTCCTCCATTTGAATGTTGTGTATAAGAACATCTGCCAGTTGCTTTAGCGATTTTAAAGCGGTTTTAATTGCAAAGACTGTTGTTCTTAAAACAGCAACATTTGGGCTGTAAAGGTTACAGATGCTCCGGCTAAACAGGCTGATTTGCTTTTGAAAATTATTTTTTGGAAGTCTAACAAGTCACCCGTTACACTAAGTGCTTGTACTAAACACTGCTGAACACAACTTCTACCACACAGACTAGAGAATACTATGGGGGTAGAATCGTTGCATAATTCCAAATAAATACATTATGATCCACAAATAAATGTAAAGAGATTAACAAAAATAAAATGTATTGATAAATAAATAGAATGAGATCCACAAATAAATCTTAGAGTTTCACAAACAAGAATTAAATTCACACAAAAAATAAAATGAGATTTGCAAATAAAAAAACACATTCACAGATATATTTTTATGTCACAAACACAACTTTGCCTATGCTCATATTTATGGTGATGGCGAGGGGACCTGTTCGGTTCACTTAATTTTGTCGTGGCCACGTCATATTAACTCGTGGGAATGTCATATTATGTCATGGCCACGAGATCATTTTGTCGAGGTAATCCTTATGTCGTGGCCACGAGATGCTATGTTGAGGGAACGACATATTTTTCTCGTGGCCATGAGTTTAATGCGTAAACAAACCTGCATGTCCATAGTAACCCGGGATTATCAGGGGTGTATTTATTAATATTTTATTTTAAATTAAGAAATTATTTCTTAAATTAAGAAATTTTTGCTCATTGTTGTTAATTTAACACCACTTACCTGTCTTAAACTGTCCTGATCGTCCATTTTGAAGCGGTTAATTAGCCAGAATAGCGAGTTTGGTGCCTGGTCCCACACTGATTGTAAGGCAAAACGAGATTGGTTGGAGCGAGAACAGCTACGATTGGTCGGCGCCACGTGACCAGTATCTGATTGGCTTAAGTAGAAGGGGGGTGGAGTCCATCCATTTGTGGATTGGTTTGCCTCTTGACGCTTGAAATGTCTCAAAATCCACAAATAAGCGCAACGATTTACAAATGCACAGGGAGCTATCCACAAATGCATGCAGCGATCTACAAATGCACAGGACATGATTCACAAATGCATGCCAGGCAAAGTTGTGTTTGTGACATAAAATATATCTGTGAATGTGTTTTTTTATTTGCAAATCTCATTTTATTTTTTGTGTGAATTTAATTCTTGTTTGTGAAACTCTAAGATTTATTTGTGGATCTCATTCTATTTATTTATCAATACATTTTATTTTTGTTAATCTCTTTACATTTATTTGTGGATCATAATGTATTTATTTGGAATTATGCAACGATTCTACCCCCATAGAATACTGACAACGAAAAGATAAGTAAAAGGTAATGTAAAAGGTTTTATTTTTTTAATTATTGTTATTTTACTGTAGTTCACTGAAACGTCAATAACCCATTTAATAATGGGTCCAATGGGTAAATTATAAGATCAAGCCAAATATATCAGCATCATTACTCCAGTCTTCAGTGTCACATGATCCTTCAGAAATGATTTTGATGCTGACTTGATGTTGAAAATACTTAAATGTGTGTGTGATATATTAGATTTAGATTATATATATATTTAGATTATTCGATGTGTAGAAAAGTCATGAATAAAAAAATACAGCATTTATTTACAAAAATAGCCTAATTAATTTGCTTGAATATTTCATAATATTGATGCTGAACTCATCAAAGCCATGTCTCCTTTCATTTAATCTGATCAATTTTGTATGCCCCAAAATTAATGCGATAAAAAGAGCATACAGAGTTGAGTTGTGTTGCATTGTGATGATTTTTACTGTAAGCGCTAGACCTGCAGTCAGTGCTTCCGCCGTGCGGCGGCGCTGCAGTTCTCGTGACTCCAGCAGCAGCAGAAGAAGAAGAAGAGAAGCAGCGCTGTGTTTCCGGAAGAAGACTCGGATGAAGCGCAGCAGCTACATCCACAAAACCATCTCACAATCAATAGAAATCGAAAATAGGTAAGACATTAACACAAGTGCGATAACTGCTTTGTGAGAGCGTTATTAATAATGCAGAGTGAGTTTTCAGCGCTGAGAGGCGTCAGCTCTCACAGTGTTTTCATAGATCGGTGTTGAGCTCGGGCTACGAGTGTGTGCGCTAATGTGTCCACTAGCAATACAGTACCCTTCTATTCTCTGAAATAAGATGAAATACACATTCAGTATCATGGTATTCATTAATAAGGTACCATGATATTGCCATATGATACTGATCTGATACCATGTGCTGTGGTCAGGGTTTCATGCTACTAGTAACTACTCCTGTCCAAATCAGTTTAGGCTTAGTGTAATGTTTAGCTTTATTTTAATACTACTACTAATAATGCAAATGTTGTTATATTGTTATTATTATTAATACATAAAGAGAAACATTCCAACTGAAATCTGAAATGTGTAGATTTATATATATATGTCAGGCATATTTACATTTAAATGTTAGTATTAAGGGTTTAAAATAGTGTCAGTCTTGTTATGAGGTTACAATAATAATGATAAACGACCATTATATTTATGTAACATGAATAATAAAATAAAACAACAATAATTATGATCTTATTAGCTTGTGTATTGTAACTGGGTCCAGCTGTTTTGAAGCGTAGCTGAGCATTTCTCCAAGGATTTCCCCCGATTGCTTGATTCTCTTGTTTCTCTGCTCTACATTGTGTAAAGGTGGTTTATTTTAACAACGTTCAGTAACGGATGTTCAGCACTTTTGTGATGACGTTGTTGACTGTGATGGTGTCTGTCTCTCAGTGAGGTGCTGCCGCCGGTGCGGGATGTCAGGCCAGAAGCGCTCCAGCGATCCCAGCAGCTCTGCCCCACTCAGCGCTCCTCCAGAGAAGAAGAAGGGCGCTGAGGGTGGAGAGGGAATGAGCACTGGGTCTGGAGGAAGCACTGCCACTGCTGTAGAAACGGTCATCAAACTGGGTGGAGGGTCCAACCAGGTCAGATGCTTTCTGAGATCTTAATGTGTGATTCGTGCTTTCTGGTGTTTGTTTCCCCAAGGGTTTTTTTTATATAATGTCTTACATCTTACATTAATTTTCAGATATGTGGAGTCTAGTGCTGGGCGGTATACCGGTTCATACCGAATACTAGTGTTTGTTTTTGTTATGCTATGAATTTTTAAAATACCGCAATACCGGTGTATGTCGCTTAAAGGGGTCCTATTATGCTTTTTCACTTTTTAAATTTTAGTCAGTGTGTATGTTTGGGCATAAAAAAGATCTAGAAAGTTACAAATCTCAAAGTCCACTCCAAAGGGAGATATTTAGTTTTTTAAAAATCCCTTTTCAAGAACTACAACGAGCGGCTCGTTTGGACTACAGCGTTGGTTTCCGGGCTTTGTGATATCACAAAGCGGCTCGTTAGAATATCATTCAAATAAGGCATGTCTAGAACAGCGGTTCTCAATTCCAGTCCTCACATACCCCCGCTCTGCACATTTTGTATGTTTCTCTTATTGCTTCATACGTTTGTTATAAGTGGACATTACCATATATTCCTCCATGATTCCAGTTTGAAGGGAGCGTATATGTTCCATACAAAGGGCATTTAAGTGTGCGAGACGTGAATTTAAATTGTATTTATTTACAGAGGTATATTATGTCCCACTTCACGCTTCTCTAGTAAGTTTAGTTTGTGTGTGAAGACGCTGCAGGCAAATCTGTAAATGAATATTCTGAAGTGGAGTAAACTTCAACGGATTTCCCCTGCTCAGGGAGTAGGGAGCAATGCACACTGTGTAGGGACCATGTCAATCGGAACACAGTTCATGCACGGAGCTCACTTCTAACGAGATGATCTAAAATCAGGTGTGTTAACAAAGAGAGACGTGCAAAACATGCAGAGCGGGGGTATACGAGGACTGGAATTGAGAACTGCTGGTCTAGAACAATTCTTATAAGTACAACACGACGTAGCTGGACGCCGCCGGTGTGCCTACACTCATAGAAAATAATATATTTGAATTTTAAAGACGTGGCGCGACGCTGCACTTCTCGTCCGGTCCGCGACTGCCTGAAACGCTGTTTTTTTTCACCTCCGTGACCCATTCAGTTGGCCGCACCGCAGCCGACTCGTCAATAAACGAGTACAAAACAGCGTTTCCTAGCACCTGTCGCTTACTGATTGTTTGGAATTATAAATATGAGCGTAGTTCGTCTGTTAATATCACGTGCACTTTTTTGTTTGTTGTTTTTTTTAGATTGTTACTCAGACGCAGGCAGTGCGCTGCATGAGACAAAAAAGTAATATAGCCAAAACAACCGTATAGCCGCTCTTTAGTGTAGATGCATGTTGATTTTATAAATGAGAGTTACTCCTGGTTAACATGTATTAAAAGGGGTCGTGTTTAGTCACTATTTAGTGTGGTATTTTTTGACAACATTCACTCATCATGACAGTAAAATAGGGCATTCTAAGTCAATATACTGCAGTATTTTCTCTCAATCAGTAGAAAACATGGTTAACACCCGGTCATGCATGAAAAAAAAAATACCGTCATGTACCGTGAACCGGTATAATTTGGAAAAATACCCTGATATAAATTTTTGGTCATACCGCCCAGCACTAGTGGAGTCTGTCTGTGCTAATAGTTTTGTGTATTTATCGGTTATATATTGTTGCTATGGAAAAATGAATTCTAAATCTCTTCAATTCTGAATTGTGAATCTTAAAACTGATTTCTGAATCTGGTCTCTTATCATTTGGTTCCCATTGACGTTGTATTTCGTTCTTGCAGGAAGAACAAGATATTAAAGCTCTGCAGATCAAAAACAGGAAGTTGGGAGAAGCCCTTGACCAAAGACAGGTAGATAAGACCTTTATATTTATGTATGATGTTACAAAATATTTCTATTTCAAATAAATGCTTTTCTTTTGAAATTTCTATTCATCAAAGAATCCTTAAAAATGTCAATTTTTGCAGCACAGCTGTTTTTCTTTTTTTTTCTTTTACATTGATAATAATAATAAATGTTTCTTGAGGAGCAAAACATATTAGAATGATTTCTGAAGGATCATATCGTGTGACACCGACGACTGGAGTAATGATGCTGAAAATTCAGCTTTGCATCACAGCAATAAATTATGTTTTCAAATATCAAATAAGTCATTTTTAATTGTAATAATATTTCACAATATGACTGTTTTTACAGAATTTTTCATCAAATAAATGTAGCCTTTGTGAGCATAAGAGTCTTTTAAAAACGTTCTTTCAGAAATCTCAAACCTTTGAATGCACTATATAATGTTTTATTATACTGTTATTGTAATGCATTGTGATTTTCCACTGAAAAGTGGTGCAGGAAACAGTGATACAGATGTATACATGCAAACATAGACTGTTGTGTTGCTGCAGGTGATTGAGGATGAACTGAGGGAGAGAGTTGAGAGGTTGGAGACTCGTCAAGCGACAGATGACGCGAGTTTGTTGATTCTAAACAGATACTGGAACCAGGTCATTTTGGTTGTATTTACAGTCTACATTAATTCGAGTTCTATTTCTCTCAAATGTTACCATTTTCAAAGCTGAATTTTGTTCCATCTTTCTTTTTCAGTTCGATGAAAATGTGCGATTAATTGTGCGTCGCTATGACCAATCAGGGAGTGAGCCTGTGGAAAGCCAACCTCCTGAAGGATGCAGCTTAAAACCTGGAACACCAGAACCGGATGGAGACTCAAACCAGGAGAGAGCAAAAGACAGAGGTACAAAAAAACTGTTGTAGATGGAAATCAATGGATTGCACAAATCTGGCAGATGTTTCTTACTATTTTTGAAAAAAATAATCACAAAATTTCACAAAACCTTATGTCACAGTCTTGGCTTGGTGCCTCAGACTCAACCGCAGTCCATTGAAAAAAATATTAAAGATCATAACTGATCACAGATCAGCACGGTGTCTTCATATAACAAAAGTGTTGATTATCATTTTACTAGGTCTTAAATTTGAGGACGGAAAAACAGGAATCATGATACAGCTTCATGTGATTAATGAACTTTACAAGGGTATGATTTAATGAAAGAAATGTGAGGGCTGCACATTCAAAGTAAAAATACAACATTGTTGCTTTTTTTTCAAGCTTGTGGTTTCAGAGCTGTTCACAATCACTGTACACTGCACATTTATGCCAAGTGATTGCATACTGTTGATGAATTATCACAATATTTAATTTATGGTGTTTGTCTTATGAATATAAGAGTACCTAAAAGTCCTGGTGCATTTCGGTCTTGTTTATAATTGAAGTCCTTATGCATAAAATCTTTTTTTCTAATTATTATTTGTGACACAATATATAGATTTGACTAATATTGTCACAATAATCTTTTTATTGCATTCAAACACATTTTTACAATTTCTTTGGGGGAAAAAAATTTAAGAATCTTTTATAGAATTTAATGTTTAATACTTTGTTTTTATTAATTTATTTGTTGTATTTTGTATTGTGTACTACTATGTTGTTTTTCTAATGTATAATCTTTGCCATGAAATAGCATGTGAAGCTGATGTGGCAATAAACTTAAATTCAACTGTAAACTTTATTATAATATCAGCAAAATCCAATACCAGTCAACCTTAAATTTGCATGTATTGATATAGTACTAAATAAACGTATATAAATGTAGATGTACATATTAAATAAAACATTATGCAGTATCTTAAACTGTTTTGCAGTTGGATATGTGTCCCAGCCTATTTAATTAAGTAAAATAATTATGTATGGGTTTGTTTGTATGGACATATGCTATTAATTTTGTTTGTGCAGGTCTTAAAGGGGTCGTATAATGCTTTTTTAAAGATCATTATTTTGTGTATTTGGTGTAACAGAATATGTTGACATGCTTTAATGTTAAAAAAAAACATTATTTTTCAAATACTGTACATTATTGTAGGTCCTCTGTGCCCCGCCTCTCATGCGCAAAACGCCGCATTTGAACAGTCAATAGCAAATACTTAAACTAACAACAAAACAGTAGCTGATTCAGAAGCGCCAGATTGTCATAGCAAAGTCAGAATTACCTCCTCTCCTAGGTTCACGAAACGGTCGTCCATAAAATGCATTGCTGTTCTGTTGTAAGTGATCTTAAAGATTCCTAAATGCATCTACTTTTGGAAGGCCAAATAAAGTGCTTTTGCTTTCGCCTAGAAACACACAGTGTCTCCCTGACATGGCTGCATCAACACTAACTGCGGTTACTGAAACCACGCCTTCTTTCTTTGCATGCACATTTGGGCGCATTATGCAGATATTCCCACATAGTGAGGTAGATATGTGGGGGCGTGTTAGAACGAGCCGTTTTTGGGGGGCATGGCAGAGTCTTAACTTTGATAAAGAATATCTCTTTGGTTTTGAGACTTTAGTCTTTGCAACTTCAGGGATCTTATCTATGCACAAACGGCTTGTAACACTCCAAAGAGAAAGGAAAACTTGAAATCGCATCATATGACCCCTTTAATAAAAAAAAATATTTCAGAAACTGCCAGTAGAGTCTCACAGTGGTTGAACACTTCAGTAAATTCAGCATTAGCTCTGTTCCCCTTCATTAAAATGGACAGCCTGTTTTTTTCAAGGCCAGATCTCTGTTTTTTGTATGGGTTTAGCCTTGCCTTTAACTCAGACAGAAATCTGTTTTTGTTGTAATGTTTCATACAGGTCAACAGGGGGAGGCAGTGAGCTCTTTTCTGGCCATGTTGGCCAGCAGCACCAGTGAGGAGATAGACGCAGAGCTACAGGAGCGATTGGAGTCCAGCTGTAAGCAGGCCAGACGTGTGGTTGAAATCTACGAGAACCTGAAGAACACAGTAGACCAGCTAAAGAAAGATATGGAGTCTGGAACAGGTGAGACAGACTCTACTCTCATGGGTCACTAATCATGTCTTAGCTGTCTGTTCATTCAGCGTTTAACGTGCATTTTCTTGTGACTTCCTTCAGATGGCAGTCTCTGGGATGTCGCTGTCTGCCTCAACACCCTCCTGACCAATGAGAATGAACGTCTCCGGCAGCTGACCGACAGCCTCCAGCAGAAGCATAGTCACATGACCAGCGAGGTTGGTGGTTGATTTGTTGACATGTTTATCTGGTAACCTTGTCATATTGAGTGCTTACAGTGTATGTGCATGTTTAGTCTCGTCCGCTGGGCCGCGCGGCGAATCGTGCTGATAACAGAATCAGCGAGCTGCAGGTTCTCATTGAGGAGCTGCAGTGGGACATGGAGAAAATCAGACGGAGAGAGAATCGTCTTAACACGCACCTTGCAGAGGTGCTGGAAAGGGTGAGTGGTTTTACCCTACAAAGTCACCATGAAATCAAAATAGGCCCCATTTACCATCTTATAGGCAGTGTTAAATGGAAATTCTCCCTGTGTATTTTCTGAATGCATGTTATTGATCTTATAGTGGTCAATTCATCCATGCATATGTTGGATATTATTATTTTTTGACCTTGCATGGGATATAGTATGGGAACTTACTGTTAACCTATTAACAGTTTTTTTCTTTTTTGCCCATAGAGTTTTTACAATATTTTACAGTTAAAGTGGCGCTATTATGCTTTTTCAACTTTAGTTAGTCTGTAATGTTGCTGTTTGAGCATAAAAAAAGATCTGCAAAGTTACAAAGCTCAAAGTCCACTTCAAAAGGAGATTTTTTTATTTAACAGAAATCACAAAAAAATCTACAACAAATGACTCGTTTGGATACAACGCATATTTTCCCGGGATTTGTGATATCACAAATACCGACAAATGGGACGAGAGCTGGTTGAGCTGCAATAGAGAAGACAACGAGTGTTAGACAGCTAGCTTTCCCAAAGCAGACGAACTTAGAGTGGTTACAATCATCCGGGTTTAAATCGCGCTCAAATTGATTTGATTTTGACGCAATATTTACACTGAAGCTCACAGGCGGCTATGGTAAGGGGCATGACATTTCCCAACCAGGTGCCGAGTGCTGCCAATCACAGCACACACTGGCCCAGCTAACCAGTCACGGCACACACTGGCCCAGCTAACCAGTCACGGCACACACTGGCCCAGCTAACCAGTCACGGCACACACTGGCCCAGCTAACCAGTCACGGCACACACTGGCCCAGCTAACCAGTCACGGCACACACTGGCCCAGCTAACCAGTCACGGCACACACTGGCCCAGCTAACCAGTCACGGCACACACTGGCCCAGCTAACCAATCACAGCACATTTCGTATTTTAGAAGGCGGGTCTTCATTTGATACAGGAACTAGTCAAGCTGTTCATGCCAGACTGGGGAGAGAGGTGTTGTAATAACGTAAAATATTGGCTACTTGTTATGGATAATACAGGCTTTTATTAATTACCTATATTAATGTCAGTGACCAGTAATGTAGTGAATGTTTCTGCAATAATAGCAAATGACAGTGGTTTAAAAAACACTGGGATATTTCAAGGTTCTCTTTGTTTTATGTTGTCTCTGATAGACATTTGTAATTTGTAAAACCAAGATATAATATTTTTCTTGTTTTACAGTGTGGCAGAACTGATAGATATTGTGCTCTTCCATCATAACCAGGTGAACAGTAAAGGTTATAAGGTGTATGGCGAAGCAAGCAGTGTATGTGGAACCATCACGATCAACAAAAGAAAGGTAAACGACCAGTTATATGAACGTTTAGTGTCAATATTTGCACTTGGTGTCAGTGAATCTCACTGTAAACGTGAAGTAAGCAGCTATTTGCACACTGTAGGATCCTTCCGTTGAGTATTGGGACTTGCAGGTGCATTATATATATATATATATATATATTCAGCTCTAGCAAGTGTACTCTACCATTCAAAAGTTTGGCGTCTTTAAGGTTTTTAATTGTATTTGAAAGAAGTCTCTTATGCTCACCAAAGCTGCATTTATTTGATCAAAAATAGAGTAAAAACACCATAAGTATCTTTTTGATCAATTTAGTCTCTTTTGATCAATTTAGTGGAATGTAGTTCTTTGTTAATTTCTGTCAGTAAATACATATCTTTACCCCAAAGTTATGAATGGTTATGTTTAGTGTATCTTTAATATTTGCTAGCCTGCTCAAACATATGTTGTTGAGATTGGTAGAGCCTTGGCAAAATGATTAGAAAATGTTGCTATATAAAATTATTTGTTTTGAACCTGAACACCGTCTTAACATTGAATCATAATATGCTATTAAATCTCTTGTTAGTTTGAGGAGATGAACAGTGAGTTGGAGCAGAACAGAGAGCTGGCAGATAATCGGCTCGGTGAGCTCCAGAAGCTGCAGCAGGACCTGCAGACGGTTTACCAGGAGAACAATAACATGAAGGTAAAGCCCTCGAGACCACATACACCATTACCTTGTTAGATCCATCTTATGCTTACTGTGTGAGTATTGCCTCCTGTTCAGGCAATACCAGATTAAATCTGATATTTAGAGGCAGTCAACTGTTCAGCTCTTTGGAGTGAAAAATTACAAACCCCACACATTCATATCTTGTCCTTGAAAGAAAGCTCCTTATCAGCTAACACTTGAAGACCCAGATACTCTGGAACAGAGTAAATCACTCCTTTAGTATCAGTGGGATTTACTGCAGCTTCCCTGAATGAAAAAAAAAACATTATTAATAACAAAGCATTATTAAAAATAAATGTGAACTGAAATGGAAACTGTTGATGTGAAATGAATAGCAATTAAATGCAGTATTGTAAACCATAATAGTGCACTTTATATGAATAATGCTATTAGAATGATTCAGATTCATTAGCAAGGCATACATTGTTGTCTCTCTGTCAGGTGGAGCTGTTGTCCAGGGCTGAGGAGGTGGCCAGAGAGAGCGCTGAGTATCACTGTCTGCAGTCTCAGTTCTCTGTGCTCTATAATGAATCACTGGTGCTGAAATCTCAGATGGACGAGACCAAAGCTCGACTCAACACGACCAGGAACGCCCGCCTGCGCCAACTGGACCACATGGAGGTACATGGAGTGATGATGATGTCAATGAATAGTGAATTAAATGATGTTTGAGGATGCTGCAGGCTCAAATCCAAGTAGATGTTGGTTGTCTGTAGGGCTGGGCAAAAAATCGAATGTGTTCAAAATCGGCAATGAATCGCCTGCGATTTTGAATGCCATTTTGTGTAGCGTATCAGTGAATTACGGCTCTGTGTAGTAAATGCCGCTCTGTCTGAAAGCACGTGCTGGAGATTTACTACTAATCACCAGAAGCGGATTTACTGACAAGATGCGCATGAAAATCGCATTTGATTTTTTTGTACAGCCCTAGTTGTATACTTTCTCTCAATAATGGGTCACAGTTTGTGGATGTTATTGTCAAGTCAAGTCTCCTTTATTTATATAGTGCTTTATTGTGTTAAAGTAGCTTTACAGTGTCAAACAGACAAAACCGTCAGTTTATCAGTTAAAGGGGTCCTATTATGCTCTTTTACAAAGTCTTGATTTTGTTTTGGGGGTGTACTAGAACATGCTCTCATGCTTGGTGGTTCGAAAAACGCATTATTTTTCACATAATTTACATTATTAAAATAACTTTCTCCCCAGGCTGGCTCAAACGGCTCGATTAGTTCCGGCTTTGATGAAGGTCCACCTACCGAAAAACAAAATGTGTTGTGATTGGTTAGCTGTCCCAGTGCGTTATGATTGGCGAACAGCTTAGACGGTGTTTCAGTACTGCCCCTTGCTCCGTCTTTCAACAAAAGCTTTTTGTCAAATCCGGCCTTGTACTCCCTCATGTTGTGGAAGCTGTCCTCAGTAAAATGCGCAGCACACAATAGCAAATTGGGGTTATAATGCTCAGGGACAGAGTTAAAAAATAAATTGCAACCACTGTTTCCTGACAACATCTGCTTTCGGAAACCCAAACAAAGACGTTTGGGCATGGAGGTGAAAAAAACTGCGTTTTAGGCTGTCGCACACCGGACGACAAGCGCAGTGTCGCGTCGCGCCACGTTTTTAAAATTCAAATACATTATTTTCTATTAGTGTAGGCACACCGTTCGGCGTCTGTCCGCGGCGCCCAGCTACGTCGTGTTGTACTTGTAAGAATTGTTCTAAACATGCCGAAAATGTGACGCTACAGCACTGCAGCTGTTCTTCTTGGTTTTCTCTGATGCACTAACTCTGCAGCAGCACTTCTTCTTCATCGTCTCGTCTGATGCACTCACTCAACCAAGCGTTCTAACCACGACCTCGCCCCCTCCCCACCCCCCAACCATTTGATTTTCTGTAGGTGGGAATTATTTGAATGATATTCTAACGAGCCGCTTTGTGATATCACAAAGCCCGGAAACCAACGCTGTAGTCCAAACGAGCCGCTCGTTGTAGTTCTTGAAAAGGGATTTTTTAAAAACGAAATATCTCCCTTTGGAGTGGACTTTGAGCTTTGTAACTTTCTAGATCTTTTTTATGCCCAAACGTACACACTACACACTGACTAAAATTTAAAAAAGTGAAAAAGCATAATAGGACCCCTTTAATGTCATCGTCCAGCTCGGTTCGGTTCTCTTCCAGTAATGTTTGTGCAGTCGAGTCAACAGTGATGCCAGAACTTTTATTGTCATTAAAGCAAGAGTAACATGATGACTTGTTTGTGTTTGTTTCAGAATGACGAGGTGTCCTTGCAGCGTAAGGTCCGTACTGAAGTGATTCAGCTGGAAGACACGTTAGCACAGGTGCGCAAGGAGTATGAGATGCTCAGGATCGAATTTGAGCAGACGTTAGCTGCTAATGAACAAGCAGGTAACATAATAGGACCCCTTTAATGTCATCGTCCAGCTTGGTTCGGTTCTCTTCCAGTAATGTTTCTAAAAAAATTCATCGTCCAGCTCGGTTCGGTTCTCTTCCAGTAATGTTTGTGCAGTCGAGTCAACAGTGATGCCAGAACTTTTATTGTCATTAAAGCAAGAGTAACATGATGACTTGTTTGTGTTTGTTTCAGAATGACGAGGTGTCCTTGCAGCGTAAGGTCCGTACTGAAGTGATTCAGCTGGAAGACACGTTAGCACAGGTGCGCAAGGAGTACGAGATGCTCAGGATCGAATTTGAGCAGACGTTAGCTGCTAATGAACAAGCAGGTAACATAATAGGACCCCTTTAATGTCATCGTCCAGCTTGGTTCGGTTCTCTTCCAGTAATGTTTCTAAAAAAAAAAAATGCTCTAAAAACCTTCCGGTGGCGCGGCGCAGCTGAGCAGAAAGTTTGTGTTTTTCTTTGTTGAGTTTACGTGTTAAGTTCTACGTTTAGGTTTGTTGTGCATGTTGAAGTATAACGAAAATAAATAATGAGGGGGAAGAAGATCGTCGAAGTATTGCTGTTGCTTGCGCTGATTACATCGAGTGTTTATATGCCGCACGATGTAGCCAACGTCGCCGCATCGGGGGGACATGATCGGGTGTTGCGGGTCTGCAGCAGGGAATGGTTGCTGTCTCTACGGAAACCTGTGGTAATGGAGCCGGGCCTGCTGGATGGTGTTCCAGAGGAGTTGTTGCGGCGACATGGGGTCGGGGATCATTGTTGTCAGCTGTGAAAACGAGGGAGAAGAGGCGGCGTTCAACATCGACTTCGTCGAAAATGTCACAAGTTTTAGCAATGCTCGTTCACTGAGGAATAAGATGGACGAGCTGCGTCTGAATGTAAGAGTTTGTAATGAGTATCGCGAGTCGTGTCTCCTCATTTATTCAGAGAGCTGGCTTCAAGGTGATTTCCCGGATTCCCTTGTTCATGTGCAGGGGTTCTCTAATGTTCGCATGGACAGGAATAACAACTCCGGGAAAACGAGAGGAGGTGGCATTTGTGTTTTCATCAAAGACTCTTGGTGTAGAAATTATACAGTAAAGGACACAGTGTGTACTCCTGATCTTTAACTTATATGTTTAAGTCTAAGACCCTATTATTTGCCCAGAGACTATGGGAATATCTTCATCTGCGTTGTATATATTCCGCCCAGTGGGGATGCATCAAAAGCGGCTTCAAGGATAGCTGATTGTGTCCACCAGCAATTACAGAACAAACCTGATGCACCGATATTTGTATTAGGAGATTTCAGTCATTGTAGGATGGACTATGCTCTCCCAGGGTTTCAGCAGTATGTTTGTAACAGCACACGGAAAAATAAAATATTAGATAAAAGTTATGGTAACATCAAAGAAGCATATGTAGCTAAGATTAGGCCTCCTCTTTCAAATTTGGACCATAATACCATTCAGTTAATTCCTATTTACAGGTCTGCCTTTAGGAAGAGTTAACCGGTTTTAAGAACAGTTAATGTGTGGCAGGATACTACAAAAGAGGAGTTGAGTGGTTGTTTTCTGGCTACAAATTGGGACGTTTTTTTATCTAGATGACAATATTGACAGTATTGCGGAAGTGATTACAGGGTATAATCATTTTTGTGTTGATACTGTGTTCCCAAAAAAGACCAAACAATTTATCCAAATAACAAGGAATATATTACCCCCGAGATTAAGCAATATATTAGGTGGAGAAATCAAGCTTTTAAAAATAATAATAAATTGGAGTTTAGAGAAATTCAAAGGGAACTAAGGAGAAAATTGAGGGAAGCGAGAGAGCAACACAATTTACGTGTTAGAGAAGCTATTTCAACTTCAAATACTAAAAAGTTGTGGGATGTTGTGAGAGGAATGATCAATTTTAATTCAAATAAGAAAGAAATACAGGTATTAAATGAATTTGAAAAAGCAAATTAATTTAATAACTTTTATAATCGTTTTGAACTGACTGGTAGTGGTAGTATTGATAAATGTAGAGATTTGCTGAGTTCTGTAACGTGTGATTTCACAAAGGATAGAATTGTGGTGGACCCAAGTGCTGTTGCGAAAATTTTTAAAAGGCTGCATACCAAAAAGTCCAGTGGGCCGGATGGTATTTCAGCTCTTTTACTTAAAGACGAAGAGGCCCTGAGAAAGATCCGCTCGGTGGAGGAGCAGATCGATATACTCAATAAGAAACTCTCTCTGGCTAAGCAGGTAGAGCTGTGATTTACTGAGTAATGAATGACAAACATTCTGCTGGAAAATTCTCAATCGGTCACTCTCTCTCTCTCTCTCAGGAGGAGGATGCGTTGCTGAGTGAGATGGATGTTACTGGCCAGGCGTTTGAGGACATGCAGGAGCAGAACATTCGGCTGATGCAGCAGCTCAGAGAGAAAGATGACGCCAACTTCAAACTCATGAGCGAACGCATCAAATCCAACCAGATCCATAAACTTCTCAAGGAAGAGAAAGAGGAGCTAGCTGACCAGTTGCTCACACTCAAAACACAGGTGGGTGGGCTTTGGAGTTTTGTGGTGCTGTCATCTTTTGAGATAGACTGTTATGTTCATGAATGAAGGCTTGAGTGAATTGTTTGGATTATGGTGTTTTATTTTTACGATCTTCAGATTGCACAGTTGTTTTGGAAGGTTGCATAGCTGTGTAATACTGCAACTATGAAGTATTCAGACAGTCACACTACCTGTAACGAATGAAAAATATTTAATGTCATGTTCCAGGGGTTCTGTTTTGAATGAATAAAAAATGGTAACATAAGCTATCAGTGACAGAAATTAATTTAAGGGGTTATATTTGGCCCTTTAAAATGTATTTATTTATTTATTTTTTACCTTTTATATGGGTATTTTTTTCTAACCTTATTGAACGTATACATCATCTTTATGTCAAATATTTCCAATTAATCAATAAATTCACTTAGCATAGTAAGACACTATAGGGATGTTACCGATCGAATGAGATCAAAATCCATCTTTGCGCTGCAGAAGTGGCACAGATGCTGCACCTGAAGTGACATTTAGGTGTATTTTTACACCGGCTGATTAATGCAGCGCAGAGGTGGCGTGTCTACGGGTAGCTGCATACAAATGCTATGAAATTAATAAATAAAAGTAACAATTAAAAAAAGTGTAAATATAAAAATATGAAATGATGAGAAAATTTAATACTTTTGCAAATGAAATAAAAACATTTTTGGGGACATTCATTTCTGACCCTAAAATCTACTCCAGTGGCATATAACTTATCATTGTATTTTCTTTTTAAACTTCAGGGTTTAATCTTCCATGGTTAGACCTGGAAATGTCGGAGAATTTAAATTGATTTCCAGGCCTGGACAATAGTGGGATGTTACCGATCGAATGAGATCAAAATCCATCTTTGCGCTGCAGAAGTGGCACAGATGCTGCACCTGAAGTGACATTTAGGTGTATTTTTACACCGGCTGATTAATGCAGCGCAGAGGTGGCGTGTCTACGGGTAGCTGCATAAAAATGCTATGAAATTAATAAATAAAAGTAACAATTAAAAAAAGTGTAAATATGAAATGATGAGAAAATTTAATACTTTTGCAAATGAAATAAAAAAATTTTTGGGGACATTCATTTCTGACCCTAAAATCTACTCCAGTGGCATATAACTTATCATTGTATTTTCTTTTTAAACTTCAGGGTTTAATCTTCCATGGTTAGACCTGGAAATGTTATTGGTCTTATGAAGTATTCTAATTTGTTGAGATAGTGAATTGGTGGGTTTTTGTTAAATGTGAGCCAAAATCATCACAATTAAAAGAACCAAAGACTTAAACTACTTCAGTCTGTGTGCATTGAATTTATTTAATACACGAGTTTCACAATTTGAGTTGAATTACTGAAATAAATTAACTTTTCCACGACATTCAAATTTATTGAGATGCACCTGTAAATTACCCCTCATGAGTTTCTTAGAAATTCTTTATTCAAGAAGTGTGGGACCTTTGAAACCTGCATTTATGCGACCTGCCAAAAATACAGTCTCCTTAATTTATGGCGCTTTTCCACTGCAGTTTAGTACCACGTCAAAGAGGGTGGGATTATAGCAGTGTTCATTTCGTTGACGAATAATTTTCGTTATAATTTTCGTCAACAACATTTTTTTCACGACGAAAACGAGACAGTGACGAACTAAAACTCGTTTATGAATGACAGAAACTATGACGAAAATCTATTGACATTTTCGTCAACGAATAAAAACGAGACGAAAATGTTAGGGAGGGACGATTTGGGAAGAGATTTGTTCTGCTGCATGGTTGCGAGGTTAGATGCGTACATATGAACCGGCGGGACATAAGCTAACATACACTTGCTGCACGTCTCATAAAATGAACAAAAATATCAATATCTGGGAGTAAGAAGAGCAGACATATAGATAAATCTGACGACGCAAAAGAGAACTCAATTCGGTCTGGTTTCCTGAGCGCACACACCGAAGCAGTGCCTCTCACACAGCACACGAGTACTCTTTCGCGTCTCATGAACGGAGAAATACACACAAAATAATGTCGAATTGTTTGTTTTGACGAGTATTCACGTAAACGCACTCGGTTATGTCTTATGTGAGCCGAGTCCTTAACCATCTTCATCTTCAATAACCATATATATATATATATACACCTTGCTACGTGTACTGCGTTAGGCTAACCGAGACTTGTCATTTGCACTTATATATTGTTGCTCTTTTGTTCGTTTTGACTGCTTTTATTGTCCTCATTTGTAAGTCGCTTTGGATAAAATCAGTACATTGCATCGGTGTATCTGGTTTTAAAGGGACAGCAGCCTAATTTCTTCTTGACTGAATCCCTTTAGTAGCACGGGTTTGGTGTCTCGTGTCGCAAATCCAATGACACTGGTAGTGACTAGGGGTGGGCGATATAGCCTCAAAATTATATCACAATATTTCAAGAATATTTGCGATAACGATATTTATGACGATATAAAAAAAATATGGAACAATGTTTTATTGGTGATTGCAGTTGGCAGGCAGCAGCATTTAGTAATGCAAACAAAATAAAGGGCATTTTCCATCCTTTTCCAATGAGCTACTGTCATTGATGACAGACTACCTAATTTGAAGCGTAAATCTATTATCATAAGGTGGCAGCAGCAGCTGTGTGTTCAACTTGAAGCAGACCATGGGCGGGGTTTCACCTAAAAGTATATATAGTTTTTTTTTTGTGTGTGTGTTTGTTAGCTTGTTTTGTTTTTATAATAAATAAAAATAAAATAAGTAGAAAGAATAGAGAATGCTAGTGTTAAAGGCTCTTTTGTCTTTTTAAATAAAGCAAGTAGTTAGAATAGAAATAGAATAGGGAGTGCAAATGTTAGAGGGTCAATTTTTTTAATAAAAAAAAAACAAGCAGATAAAATTAGAATTAGCATTAATGATAGAGTTAGAGCGTCAAATGAAGATGAAAGAATGAAGATGTGTTTTCAGCTGTTTCTTGAAAACGATTAAGGACTCCGCTGCTTGGATTGAGTTGGACAGGTCATTCCACCAGGAGGAAACAGTTAATGTAAAAGTCCATGAAAGTTTTATCATAGGTAGAATGCTAAATGTTTCAATACAAGCATTTCAGTCAAATGTTATTTATGCAATATTTCAAACCTTTAACCCACTTGGGAAAATCAACCCATGGCAACAGTTTAAAAGTAGCCCAATCCTGTGGAAAAAACGCAGACTTGGCAACCCTGCATCCAACAAGAGCTGCAGGAGTCAGATTTGACTGATCACAGGTCGAGAATAAGGAGAGATGACTGACTAGACCATGCTGGAGTATTTGCTGCTCAACAGATCCTGAGCTCATTGACAAATATCTGATCTTGTAAGATGTGCTCCCTTTACACAGAGTGCGTGTGATCGCGAAAGTGAACAGGGCGAACGCTCATTCAAAGGGGATTTAAATACCAAGAGCGGCTCCCTGATGCGCCAAAATTATATACAATATTAGAATGTTTAAAGAAATGAATACGAAAATCGCGGGAGCTAAACACATGTTGGTCAGAGATTCAGCGGGAGCAATTAAGAATTAAGGACATTTTGGGCGATTAAGAAATTCCGGCCGGACGCATTTTTTTTTAGGTCCAAAAAGAGGACATATGGTCACCCTAGTGATACACCGATCAGTCTGCGCAGCGCTGCTTCAAGTCGAACACACCTATTGGGTTTGTGTTATTGTTGTTGTTGTGCGTGCTAGGGAACGTAAATGCGCCATATGTCATTGCGTCGCTATATCATTGATATCGCGATATGACACTTTTTTTTATCATGTAAAAATGTATACTGGTATTATTGTGGTATGATATGGCACACCCCTAGTAGTGACTATTCTCTCTGACCAATCAGTGATCTGCATTGTTCACACATCACATTTTAGAATCGGTATGGCTCGCGTGGAACCTCAACCGAGGTGGTACTAAAAAAGGTGCTGTACACAATGGAAAACCCCCCAAAAATGAGTCGTATTGAGCCATACAGGGCCATACTACTGCTGGGCGGTATGACCAAAAATTTATATCACGGTATTTTTCAAAATTATACCGGTTTCACGGTGCATGACGGTATTTTTTTTTTCATGCATGACCGGGTGTTAACCATATTTCTACTGATTGAGAGGAAATACTGCTGTATATTGACTGTCATGATGAGTGAATGTTGTCAAAAAATACCACACTAAATAGTGACTAAACACGACCCGTTTTAATACATGTTAACCAGGAGTCACTCTCATTTATAAAATCAACATGCATCTACACTAAAGAGCGGCTATACGGTTGTTTTGGCTATATTACTTTTTTGTCTCATGCAGCGCACTGCCTGCGTCTGAGTAACAAACAACAAAAAACAACAAACAAAAAAGTGCACGTGATATTAACAGACGAACTACGCTCATATTTATAATTCCAAACAATCAGTAAGCGACAGGTGCTAGGAAACGCTGTTTTGTACTCGTTTATTGACGAGTCGGCTGCGGTGCGGCCAACTGAATGCGCTGCTTCTCTGCCGCTCACTGCACAGAACAGACGCCGAGAGAGGCGACACTTCTCCGGGAAAGTCAGACCTCACGCTCGCGGGACAGCACTGGCGAAATCTTCCAACTGAACCATAGCTAAGGTGTATCCAAAAAAGTCGCTAGGTTTGTCAGTATGAATATTCTATAGAGAAAGCTGCTAAAGGGTGTGAAAGTTGCTAAATCTAGTGCTAAAGTCGCGCTCGTGTGTGTGAGACGCGGGAGCTGATGGCAGGGGGCGGTGGATATTTGTGGCGGTCAGTGTGGATATTGTGGATGAGTTCTTCTGTGTCATCACGTTCTATTAGTTCTACAGCTTCAGTTTCGGAACTTTCACGCTTGGTAACACATACAGCTGTTCCCTCACCACAGTGCAACAGTGAAAAGGGGCCCCTTTCAAACAGTGTCGCGTTCCAAACGTTGTTTAAGCGACATACACGGCTGTATTACAGTATTTTCAAAATTCATATCATAACAAAAATAAACACCGGTATTCGGTATGAACCAGTATACCGCCCAGCACTAGGCCATACCATGCATTTTTAAGTCACTTTGGATATGAGCTCTGCTAGCGAAATAAATATCAATATCTAATGTTCATCCAGGAGAGAAATGTGACGTTTACATCCCCTATTATCTTTCTGTTGTATGACTCTGCAGGTCCGTGTTTACCAAACTTGAATTTCAGTGTACAGCTTAAGACTGAAATCCTACACATATGCTTTTATTCCTGTTCTCCAGTGTTCACATGTGCAGCTGAACAGAACATAAGATGTGATTTTTCTGTCTTTCTCTCAGGTGGACGCTCAGCTGCAGGTGGTTCGGAAGCTAGAGGAGAAAGAGCGCCTCCTGCAGGGCACCATCAGCGCTGCGGAGAGGGAGCTGGGGCTCCGCACACAGGCTTTAGAGATGAACAAACGCAAGGTACGACAACATGTACTCACATATATGCAGTTTGTAGACTTGCAGTATCATAAATACTATGTGGGGGAAAGTAGCAAATAAAAAAACCCTCTATTAATTCTCTGTCTGTTTTAGGCGCAGGAGTCGGTGCTGCTCTCGGAGGAGGTGCGCTCTCAGCTGGAAGGGGTGCAGCAGAGGTTGAGTGCGGTCAGAGAGGAGGTGATTGAGAACAGCATTTCTCGAGAAAAGGAGTCTTTCAATGCCCGACGTGCACAGGTGCTTACATGATGAACTTATCAAAATTACAAAAGCAGTCACATTTTTTGCTTTTAATGACAAAAATAAGTATTCAAAATGTATCAAAGGGATAGTTCACCCAAAAAAAAAAAAACAATTTTTGGAAAGTGGGTTTCTTTATTATGTTAAACACAAAATATTTTGAAGAATGTTGGTAACCAAACAGTTGACAGTAGCCTTTGACTTCTATATTATGGAATGGCTATCATCAACTGTTTGGTTACCAACATATCTTCTTTTGTGTTCAACAGAAGAAAGAAACTTGTACAGGTTTGGGATAAGTGGAGAGTGAGTAAGTGATTTTTCATTTTTGGGTGACCTGTCCCTTAATTTTGCAATCTGCAAAGGAGCGGATTAATATTGAAATCAGGATTAGGCATAAAATAATGTCTTCAGATCATTCAGACGTGAAAATCAACTAAGAATTGAACCAACAGTTCTAACCTGGCTCAGAAGAAGACAGGAATCATGTCTTTGTAGCAGTTTTTATGGCTATTAAACGATAATACAAGACCTCTTCACCTTACAAGTGATTATCAAAAGCAAAAATGCTATGAAATGCATCATATTTTGTAAGATAATCATTATGAGTAAGAAACAAATATTGGATTTCATTCAGCAAATATGAAGGCGGTTTAATGGTGTTGAACGTCATACTGTTGGTCATCTGTCGATAGAAAGTGATATACTTTGTGAATTGGGGTAAAAATGGCTATTTTGTAAAAGTTTTGTTTAACCTTTCCTTTATCTCATTAGGAGGACATATCCAAACTGCGCAGGAAGATCGAGAAGGCCAAGAAACCTGCGGAGAACGTTCAAAATGGAGATGAGATCCTGAATGAAGAAATAAACGATTACAAGGTCATTATTGTTGATCATTTGAACGAGGGACCAGAAAGAGTTTTGTGTTCATGTCTTTAAAGGATACTTTTTTCTGTTTCACAGGCCCGGTTGACCTGTCCATGCTGCAATTCACGTGTAAAGGACGCCGTTTTGACAAAGTGCTTCCATGTTTTCTGTTTTGAGTGCGTGAAGACGCGCTACGACACCCGTCAGAGAAAGTGCCCAAAGTGCAATGCCGCATTTGGTGCCAACGATTTCCATCGCATCTACATCGGATGAGATTTATGATCCACGGCATCTGCATCTGTTTGGTCCAGTTGCTCAACATTGTTTGGAGGGTGGAGCTTGTCCTGTAACGTTGGGCGAACATCAACAGTTTTACATTCCACTTGTTTTTTTTCTCTACAAAGACATCCAACGTTTTCAGTAGATGTTCCAGCATCGGTTTTGCAGAACTAACCTGGTCACATTCCACAGGTTGTCCTAGCCAACATTTCTCACAACATTTCTGCTGCTTGCTTCCAGGAGTGTCCTGAATGCTCGCTGACATTTGTTTAATACTGCCTCGACGAGATCTCCCATTCCACCTCAACTTACATTTACAACCCAGAGCCAATGTGAACCCATCCACATAAGTGAGACCTGCCACTGAAAACAAGCTGCCTAGTCGGCTAGGCAATAGTTCATTTGCGTTCAGTTTGCTGAACAGCTGGTATTGTCATTTTTGTACTGTCTATTATTATTATTTATTTATTTTTGACTGGCTGTAGTGATGGTTGTGCAACTGCTTCATTGAAATCCATTAAAATATTGAAATGTATTGACAATTTCTTTTATGCTTTTGTTGAAGTTGTCACTAATATGTGACCCTGGAGCACAAAACCAGTCTTAAGTCGCTTGGGTATATTTGTAGCAATAGCCAAAAAAACATTGTATGGGTCAAAATTATCGATTTTTCTTTTATGCCAAAAATCATTAGGATATTAAATAAAGATCATGTTCCATGAAGATATTTTGTAAGTTTCCTACTGTAAATATATCAAAACTTAATTTTTGATTAGTAATATGCATCGCTAAGAACTTCATTTGAACAACTTTAAAGGCATTTTTCTCAGTATTTTGATTTTTCTGCACCCTCAGATTCCAGATTTTCAAATAGTTGTATCTCGGCCAAATATTGTCCTTTCCTAACAAACCATACATCAATGTAAAGCTTTGATGATTTCAAAAAAATTTACCCTTATGACTGGTTTTGTGGTTCAGGTCACATATGTGATTTTGCTGATGCTTAAAACACTTTTATAGTATATTCTTCTGGATTTATGTTAGATTAAGCACTTTGTGTAATAGCAATTCATAAATCAAACCATGTGGGGTTTAAACCTGCAACAAAGTTGCTTTTCACATTCTTTTTAAATTGAGAATGGTATGATTATAATTGAGGAAAGTATATTAAGTTTATTACAAAGTTTTAAAAAGTTAAGAAACAGTAGGCTAAATGCTTTATTTTATATTTATATAGTTTTTTAATCTCCCTGTTCTTGTTACAGTGTAATTATACAATCAAGTACTGAGTAATATTAAAGAAAGGGTTTGGATTGGGGTTAGTTGCATGCAATTACATAGTTTACTCTTATTATTACCAATGTTGGGTGTAATGCAGTGCCGAGTAATTACTGTAATTTAATTTCCCCTAGAAAAAGTAAAGGATTACACTTAATTGTTCTGTAAATTAATTCGTTACTTCTGATGTAATTGCATTAAATACTGTATAAACTATAGAAATATATATATATATATATATATATATATATATAAAACAATAGTGAATTTAACAAATTAACATTTAAAGTTAAAATGTATGTTTTTAGTGTAACCTTGTCCCTTTAAATACTTTGGTCAGTTCAAGAATAATTTAAGGGACTTTATATTATTTATTTGAAATAGTTAAAAGAGCAGATTCATGTCTATCCTTGTATTGTTCAATGGTCGAGACTGACATATAGCCTATAGAAAGCAGTTAGTTAGTAAGAAGTAATGCATAACTTTTTAGAGAGAGTAATGAGTACAGAACCATTACACTCGAAGATATAATTAGTAGCTAATTACTTTTTAGTATATTTTAACGTCATGTGCCAGTCGAAAAGCTCATTGTGACGCTTTAGCTCTTTATGAATTTGCGACTCACTACAATTAAATTCTCATATTTTTTTCTCTTTTCATAATTGCTCTCCAGTGCGCGGCTGTGTGAGCGCACATGTCCCGGCGTGCAGCTCGACGCGCCTCGGGCGCTTCTGTAAATCTAGTAACACCCAGTGTTGCCAATTTAGCAATTTTGTTGCTAGATTTAGCAACTTTTTCTTCCAAAAGCACCTAGCAGCAAATTTAGCTATTTTTTTGTATTTATTTGGCAACTTTTGATAAGTGACTCAAACGATAAAAAAGGCACACATTTTCCATCTAAATGACACAAAAAGAGGAAACCAAAGGTGCCTAGCAGTACACAATTCACATGAATTAGGTTGGCTGCAATTAGCAATTGTTTAATTTAATAATAATAATAACAGTTTGATAATTGTTCATTTACGATACACCTTAGTAGCTTGTGCTTGAGTTTGTTGATCAGTGCACGGTTAGAAAAATATCTAGAAAAATGAAAAAGGTAGTAATTTTCCAGGACATTATCCGTTATCCATTATAACCCGAAAACACAAAATACAATGCGTAATTTAAAATGTAGGTAAAACAACGTGTGAATAATAATTACGGAAAATTCCTTCATATTAATAGATTTCGCCCTACTTTTACAGACTTTTCTTAAGAGTGTAGCATACGAACTACTAATACACTGCTTAAAACTACAATTGTTCAGAATGAGTAGTTTCACTAGTATCTCATAAAAATAAACTTAAATTGTAATTGTTAAAAAAAATGTGTGTTTAATAATTCAATGTTGTATTTAAAATTAGTTATTTATATTATGCATTTATATTATTTTATAAACGCATCTAAATGAACATATTTTCTTTTTTTTTTTTTTTGCTGAGATTTGATGCAGCGACACAATTTAGCATCGTGATTACGCAATGACATCGCGTCATTTAGCAACAAATCAACCTTCCTTTAGCAACTTCCCCTGAACATGAGTTGGCAACACTGGTAACACCTCGCCTACTGGTGCGAGCCATGTCGCGTTTAAGCGCCAGCAGCACCGTGTGAACGGGTTTCTCGTGCCTGGCGCAGGAATGCAGGAGGCGGAGGCAGAACCGTATCTACAGCCAAACCTCCGTCGTGCAGCCCGGAGCTCCTCACCCAACTTTAACACCCACACAGATCCTCACAAACTGGATTCATTTCGGATCCTCGCTCAATAACACGCGTCGCGCTCGGCAGAAAATAGACTTTTTAAAAAACATTTTTTTTTGCACTAGACGGTTTCTAAATTAAATTGCATCTTAATTTATCTTTATCGACTTAACGCTTTGTTGTATGATACCAAACACAGTCATCTAGACGCTATTTTTAAGTGCCCTTGGCAAGCGCGTGCCATTTTGAGAACATAATTTTAGTATTATAGCATATATATATATATATGAGGAGCGCAGCGTATGCCATCTAATTGTGTTTGTTCAGTTGGGGTTTTGTTTGCACATGTTTTTGACACGGCTGAACTTGTTAATCTGCTTAGCCATGAACTAGGTTTAGTTTTGTCTGAAAGAACCAGCAGTTATTTTTTTATCCAGCTTTTCTTCTTCTAAGGTAATAAACCCGCTAGACAAACTGACCGGCTATTTTTCTAGTTTTTATACATCGGTTATTCAGTACGATCTTTTTTCGGATCCCTCTTTTGAACCGCGTGTTGTTCCGGGTTTTGAAGCATGTCTGGTCACAACATTGCCTCGAGAAGTTCGGAAAAGCTGCTTTTCTTTGGGGTTTTGGTTCTGGTTCGGTCGGTCTTGTGTCATGGGTTTGCTGAGGAGTTCACCGCAGGCTCTTATGAGTTTGGGTCTGTTATTCTGGAGCCTCTGGACGGGTTGAGAAAGTACGTGGAGGCCGTTGTCGGCACCCATGTGATTGAGATTGGTGCTGAGGTAACTTTTTTTTTGTTATTTGTGACATGATCTAATGACTTGTTCTAAACTTCCCACAGGAAGAATTTGCTCTTATTTGTTCAAAATATTCAATAGAGGTTGCTCTTCCATAGGCTAGATAGAGGTCTTGATTCTTTTTCATTGAAGTATCAACTTTGTAAGGTTTGCTGAGTATAAATAGGCTACAATTCGATGAGTAATGCATGAGCTGGTACTGAAATCCTGATTGCAGAGTTTGGTGCTTTAGCAAATCTGAGCACTGAAACTCTAGAGGAGGAATATGAGATTACACAGGGGTTTTTTTTGCCTCAGGAGAAACATCTGAAAAGCATGAGGCTCTCCATGCAAAACAAAGACATGTAGGCGAAACAGTTGAGATTTTGAAGAGATCTCGTTTATGATGATATATGGACCTTTACTTCTCTTATTCCCTAATAAATGCTTATACTTGTGGTATGTGTATAAGCACATTTAGCCCTCTCATGTTGCCCCTTGACTTGTTAATCCTTTTAACCCTTTCCTCTCCTCCACTCATCCTTTGCCCTAATTTCCTCTGCTTATGTCCCGCTCACCGAACCGCCCCTCGCCTCTCTTTGACCCAGAATGCTGTGTTGTACCTTGACTCAGTGTTTGGCCCAGAGAACATCTATTCTGTTGCAATGGTAAGAACAAGTAAAAGTGTCAGAGCAGGACTGATTTGTGCACTTGTTTTGACACGCACACATGCATATCCTTGTAATGTTACTGTCTGTGTGTGAAAGCGACAACTGCTACTGAGGACAAAATGCCAGTACAGGTGTGTAAGTGCTTGGTGGCTCATGCCTAGAATGGCAAACAATGCTGCTTTGTAGAATGATTATGTTCTCATTGACTTCCTTTATGAAGTCACACACACTGTTCCTGATTGCTCATGTTTGTCCTTCACCAAATGAGGTGACCTTGTTCCTGAGAGTGTCTGTTTGATCACAAGTAATGTATGTGTGATAGCTGTGCATGTTTGTGAGTTATAAAGTTAAGTGGGATGCCCAGCTGTCCCTCTGGCACACGCACACACACACACACACACACACACACACACACACACACACACACACACAGAGAGAGAGCTCTATTTGTATTGTGAGGTGTTCTTACACAAATACTGTTAAAGATTATAGCCTACCTCCTTAGCCTATCAAACTGGATCCCAAACCTGCAAGTTTGCGCCCTTTGTTTGAATGTTCACAAATTAATTTTGAACAGAAGTCTTCTTAAGTGTTCTCACCGCTTAAAAACAATGTTCCGGGTTCAGTACAAGTGTGTTTCTGACTTGCTTTTTTCAGAAAGTCATTTCAAATCATCCCTCCATACGTAAAAATCATATTTTAGGCACTTACAGTGGACATCCTAGAAGGTTTAAAACCAGAAATGCACAGCTCACGTCTCTTGAAATTCTTACATTGTTGTTCCATACAAAAATGTTA